ACAACGTACAATCCTCTGTCAAAAATGGTTTTTAATTGTTAATTTCCATGCTTGAGTGAATAAACTTAAGTTTAAGTAATACATAAATATCATCCTTCTATCAAGGCATAAATTAAAGATCTGATGGTTTTGGTAGTTGTTTGGTGAACTTGAAATCATCATGGCTTTTTAATATTGCTCTTTAAATAAGTTAAATAAGCATATTTCAGAAATATAAACCCTTTTATATCTTATCCTACAGGAACTGATGATAAACAAATGAAAAACAGTGTTTAACAATCTTTAGATACTGCTATAAACACTTACATTTGATTTAGCTTTGTCCCATTAAAGGCGTGACGTTGTATCTCTCTGAATCCATTTCCATACAACAATCTGGAAAAAAACAAGCTATATATTAATAAAACATTAAAATTGCTGTAATACATTTTCCTGAATGCAAATAATTTTACCAACAGAGCTCAGAGGGATCAACTTAAATTCCAGTAAACCTGTCTTAATTACTGTGTGTGTCATTTTGAGGCTTTTAAACCAAACATTTAGCTCACTTCTGCACAAACACAGACGTACATAAGTGAACGTCTAAGTATTTGTTTGTGATTTTAGTGTCAAAGTGAGAACTTGTTTTTGAAATGAGGTCACAATAAACATGAATTAACTGGTTTATTTATTTTTAAGAATTAGCTTGTATTTAGGAATTAAAAAGCAATGCGGCTGAATAATCTATCCTGTCTATGTTTTATTGTTATGTTTAAATCTGTGCTTTTTCTACACATTTTTTAAATGTACATGTTAAGATATGTAGTTGGTGTTAGTAGCTCACACAGTCAGAAAATCGCTTGTGATGCCCTGGAAAGAGTTGGCCGGGATCTCGGTAATGTAGGGATGATTAACAATTTCCCTGCAAAGGAGATACAGAGAAAGGAAAGGAAATTGAGTTATGCTGTCAATATCAACCTCTTTTGTTGCAAAGAGGCAAAGAATAGGTGGGAGCTGATGATCTGGGTATGAAAATTAGATTTAGGCAATAAAGAAGAGATAGCAGTTTATTAAATATTAAAGTAGAGAAGCAAAAAAATATGAGTGCAAATTTGAGGAGATTATTTATGACAGAGAATGTATTCATTAAGTGGTGTTTCAGCACTTCCATTCAAAACTTAAACACAATCTTTTTTTCTGTTAACTTTTAAGCTTTTAAGCTTAAACACATTTACAAAATAATAAAATCAAGGTTTTTCATTACTTTGCTAAAGGAGGCGACAAATACTTTTCTTTATACTAATACTTCCTTTTCTGGTACCTGTTGCTCACTGAAATAAGAACTCCTGAAAAATCCTTCTAGTAAAGCCGTTCTATAATATATATCTGCATGCAATTTACAAAAAAATATCAAATTAACAAACAACCCCTTTAAAAAAAACATTTAATGAAAAAGAAATGATAAAATCTATATGATGTTGGATCTAATGTTTTAAGAATCTGTTCAGTCGTTTGAAGGAACCAACTGTTTCTGTGTGAAATTATAACATTCTGATTTAATAACAGAGATTCTGTTTTTGTAAATTTAAAATAAGATAATAAGACAGCAAGCTGGGAAAATGTGTTTAAAGACTATTATTGATATAATTTAAATGCTACAATCGGATTTATGCTATTGCAGCTACAGCTGGCAACTTTGGCAAAAAGTATCAGGTTCATGGATAGCAGGCAATTAAGAATGTTGATGAAAGAAGTGCATTTTGTTTGGTAGCTCCTTTAGATATAGTTAAGGTTGTTGAATAGTTTGAGTTAATATTGGTGAAAAAACTGTGCATGGTTCTATTTGTTTAATTAGAAGGTAAAAGGTATTAAAAACAAGAGAGGATGTCCACCTCTTTTGACACTTTGATAATCAGTGGTTTCAAGAAAGTTCTGGAAGAGTCCAGCGTTGGAAAGCAACCAAAAAGTTCAAGTTTTCTGTTAAATCTGAGAAAGTATCTGGTAAACAAACATAAAGTTCTAGGACTGTACACTGTAAAGTTTGGGAAGGTGACTTAAGTCCACCAAAACAATGATTCTACTGTTCAAACCAATTTTACAAATTCAAGTGTAAAATATATTGAACTGAATCAATAATAAAAAGTATGATTGTGGTGAAATTAAAATATACACAGGGAATGCTATTGAATCATTTTGATGTTATTTCAAAATAACGGTGTGTTATTGAGATTATCAGCAAATATGTTAGAATCAGGATTCCACATTAGGCCTAAACATCATCTTAACAGGCCTATTAGTTCCACTGTGTTTGATAATAGACTAATACTGCATAAATGAATAGCTGCTAATAGCCGTAGTACAAAACTTACAAAATGAAGTTCAAGTCATTTGAGTGGATGTTGTGTAAAGCAGGGAAGAAAGTCAGGCCAGTGTTCAGAATCCCCCTAATTAAAGAATGAGAAACACGTATGTTAAAAAACATTTTTTTATAATAAGAAGCACATTACTTAATCATTAAATATATAAACTAAATTAGATGTACAAAAAAATAAGAAAACCCCACTAAATGTAATAGTATTATATAAATCATAGTCAGTTTCAGATTTCTGTTTAATAATCTGTAAGAATTTGAATAATGAACACATCCTGCCTAACTAATTATTATCAATAGTAACCTCATTTTGGTTTTAAGGAGCATCTTGTGACATGTCAACTTAAAGCACTGGGACTTCTCTGAACTCAAAGCTGCCTGTACACCCTTTTATCTTATCTTAATTGCAGCTATAAAGTTGTTAATTTAAAGGCCTCATATAATATAAATTCAAATTAGTTGGTCCTGTAAAATAAAGCTAACAGGTAGTCTCAGAGGGGACTGAGGGAAAATCTAAGTTTCACAGTCTTTTTTTAGTCTTTTTTGCAGTTTAGGCCCTAGCACATTTATCAACCTTTAGACTGTTTTTGCTGGGTTCACAATACTAACCTGGGTCTTTTTTATGTATTCTAGGAAAAAGAAGATTCAGTGGTGAATCACTTCCTTTTTTACTTAGGAAATTCAGTTAGCGATTCTGTTGATGCCTTATAACTTTTGATAAAACATCTTTTTGAAATCCTGAAATGTCACTTTTTAAGAATGTACCACTGGTCGCCATTAGGGAACAAGGTAATGCATTGTTTTTTTCATCAAAGTGTTTCATCATTTATATAAGTAATTTGTTCAAGAAATAAATGACAAATGTCCTTTTGAAAATGTTCCATCAGAGATAAATGTCTCTCTCTAACATGCTTGGAGGAACAAGCTTTTTCTTTCTTACTTAATTATGGCTTCTGACTCTTAATGGCGTCTGACTCAGATTAATCCTAATTAATCGATTTTTTAAATAATCGTCATCTGATTTAGTAATTAATTAATCGTTAAATGGATTAGTAAATATGGAGACTCAAAAAAAATCCCTTGTACCTAAAAGAGTGACCAATTTAGATAAGTAATTATATCAAATTGTAAAAAAAAATATAGAAACATTTTGCATTTAAGATAAAAAAATATTTTCTGTCTGTCAATATGCTCTATCCAGAACTCCGCAAGTGGAAAAGTTTGATGGTCTTTAATAAAACCTTTGGCTATCCGATTATTTATCGAAAAAATAATCGACAGTAAATAATCGATTTGCAAGTAATCGTTAGTTGCAGCCCTAGAAATAGTGTTTAAAAAAACTACCCATGTCCTTAAAAAAAAAAATTTCTTTGAATTACATTTCTACAATAAGAAACACCACAGGTGACAAAAAAAACTAACTAAATAAATTTGAAAGGCATCTTGTAATATGGTTTAAAATGCGGTTCTGTTAAGTATATATACATAATCAGTAACTGTTTGACAAGTCATCATCAACATCATAAACTACAAAAAAGTCACACAGACTAAATATTTGAATAGAGACTGTGTTGAGTTTAAAACTGCACACTGTTCAGCTGTTACTGTGCTTTAAGGGGATAATTATTTTAGTCGCACAACATGCTTTTTGTTTATGTAAAATTCTTTGCACAGTTTTGTGCCATTAACAATAACTTTGCAGAATTATGCATATCTTCTATTTAAAGAGCATCGCAGGAAGGGTATATATGCATTCAAATATACATCAATGAATAAAAAGTGAAATCAAATTATTGCTTCTTTAAAGCACTTCATGTGTAAATCTAACTTGGTTCAAAAACTGTTCTCTGCAATGATTAAGTGAAAAAAAATTTAAACTAAATTTAAAATAATAAGGGAGAATAAAAATCAACAAAACAATGTCTGCTTTAAATGCCCAAACACTTTAGATAGAAAAGTTGCTTTAAGATGACTATCAGCTCTCTGGTATGAACTAATCTCCTTTCAACCACCTTAAACACTGATAATACTTGAAAAAAAAAATATATCTTTCACTAGATGCTATTAAGGCAAAGAAGTACATTCTAAGAATACTCACAGGTACTTAAGGCTTGGGAGATGCTTAAAAGCTTCTGGATCGACATATGACAACATTTTTGTGTTTCGTATCTCTCTGAAAAACAAAACAGGTTACAGATGATGGATATGCACATACTTTCTGAAGTAAACTAATTGCAAGAGTAATTAAAAGAATCCTGTTTCTCATTTAGGTTTTTAGGTCCTAAGAATTGGCAGCATACAAAGGGAGGTGCATCGTGCCAACATCCAAGGGAGGAAAAACTTGTAGATAGACCCCACTGGAAACGGGCTAATTAGGATTTAATTAGCATTTTTTTCCCTTGTCATCCACAGTAAACACCTTTATTTCTGCTATGAAGCTTTTACAAAAAAAATGATTTATTTTATGAAGAGATTAATACAGATTTTTTTTTAAGGCTGGTGACAATACCAGTTGTTTAGACATCAGTCTATCTGATTTCTAACTATTCCTGCTGAAAATTATGGGCCGAAAATGAAGCCTCTGTTGCTTTTTCTAAGCCCTGAGGGTCTTAGGAGCAAATTCTGCCTGAAATTACATATGTGACTTAAAGATAGCACAGGACCTAAACTGTAAATTGAAAATACAGTTGTTTGTATTCCTATGACAGAAAGGTATTAAGGAATATTTTTCAGGTGGAACAACTATTTTAAGAGTCACCGTATCTTATTTATAGGTGATTAAACAAAGAAACAATATTGAGCCTTGCCAATTTATTTTCCAAAAATAAACACTGCAAAACACCAGGGAACCCCATTGGAAACTCTGGATGAACCCTCTGACATCTTGACTATAACTCTAGCAAATTTGAACTGAATAAGTTGAAGCACGTTTGCTCCACAAAGGTTTTAGTGGGCAGAGTGCCAGGCGGAAATGTGATTTTGACCCTATGCCAAGGGTGCAAAAATGTATTTACCTACTTATGAAAGGGAATCTGGCAATAGACAAATATGCTGATTTACATTATTAGAGACCTTCTGCATAATACAAAGCCTTTGCTCCTAAGATTTAGCCATTTTATTCTTCTTTCATTCTTTTCCTAAAGTGATTGCTCAATATAACAAACATTTAATTTCAACATTTGTGAGCAGTTTCAGGATAATGTTCTCATTCTCAGAGAGAGAATTCGGTGCAAGGGGAATTTGCTTTAAAAGTATCAGTGGAGACCTGGGTTACATCAAACTAAAAATCATGCTTAAACTCCATAGCCCTAAACTAAACCACACTAACCCCTCATTCTTCTGTATGATATCATTCAGTGTCAAGTGTAAATATTGGGGTGCAATTTTCCACTGGGTTTCTAGATCAAATTCAAAACCAACCCAAACCACAGCTTGGCAGCAATCTCCTCTTAGAGTCACTTTGGCGTGCATTCCTTATAGACCGATTCCTGTGCACCTTGGAATAGGTGGCAATCTTCTATCCAGTCAATCTTTGTACATTGGCCCACTGAAATGCTTTTTGTTAAACAAATGGGAAAAATAAATCTACACACAGAAAAAAAAAACACCTTGGATTCTGAAGCTTCCAGAACATCTTTTAACTTGACACGGCCAAAGCTAACTGCCATCATGTTGGTGATCATAGCTGACTGCTGCATGTATATTTTTTGTTTCTTGGCCAGTATAATAGATATATCTAACAACAGTCTTTGGATTGACCAGTGTTGGGAACAAGGGAAATCCAGGGAACTCAGAAGATCTAAGATGTAAAGAGCTGCTTTCAAATATCTCTCCTAATTTCAAGTTATGCATGTGTCGGTTTATTAGCTGTTAGCCAGAATCTGCAGATGTAGTCAACTACTGTGTATTCTTCCCTTAGCTCTATATTGTGCAGATATTTTTATATCTAAAGAAAGCATATTCCAGGACCTTACAACTTTTTTATTGCTTTTTTGTACTATATACACTATTTTCATATTTTCTGTTGTAATGGCTTTAACTCTAACTATATAAGCTACTGGAACCAGAACTAGTCTAAGTTTATGTAAGTATAAAAACAGTAAAAGTAAATCCAATTGCCTAAACATATCAATGTGCGAATATCTAAATGCATGTTTTCTAAAAAATGGCTCAAACCTCCCAAATAAACATCCAAACATTCAGCACATATCCTGACTGTAATTGCAATAACAGTTGTGATTAGATAGGTTGTTGCACCTCTAAACCCCAGATCAAATGAGCAGTCTACAGCCAGACTGTCTTTTAACAACTAATGTTATAGAATCCTACCAACCCTGAAAAGAAAGCTGGTGATACTTTAAAGGAGATTTATTGCATAAGCATGTTGTTAGGTAAGAGGTATGCAGCTAAGCTGCAACTGCTACAGGAGTTTTTAACCAATACTCTTGTTGGCTTTGCAAATATAATAAAAATTGTGTGCATAATATTATTCTAATAGTGTTGATTAAATATAATTCATTCACGACAAACAGAATATTTTATTGTGTGTGTTTTTCATCGTACTGTAATTTGTTTTTTTAACAAGCTGAGATGCACACAAGGAAAATAATCAACTTTTACATTATTCTAAAGTCAGTAACTCATAAAATTAAGATAGATAACAGCATGTTAAAAAATGCCAAAACCTCCAAGTTCTCCTCCCCAGCTCCAGTCCTTGATCCACAGCTGCTGTCTGCCTTTAGCAGCCAGCAGGAAGTAGAACATTCATTTTTGTCTGGCTGAGAGAAACCTGAGAGAGGTGCCATCATCTGAGGTATGGCACGACTTTGTACCAATCAGTGGCAAATAGGCCCCGAAGATCCAAAACACACCCTGAGAACACAGATATAGCCCTCAGCTGGCTGTTTAAATTACTGCTTCTTTCTGTGATGTTGAGCTCTGGAATTTAGTAGCTTTAAAAGAGGGACAAGGGTAATTAAACTGGAAGCATCAGGCAAATGGGGATTCAGGTAATCCCATATTCATTTCTGTGGGCGCACTCATAGTTGCACTCCCTATATATTGACAAAGACCATTTTATGAAATGCTCTTGCTTGTAACAGGGAGTCAAACTGGAAAATGTTTGATTCAGAAAGAAAATGGAGCCATAGATCGATTACAAAGACACCAGATACTAGCTGCTGTTTACATTCTCTTTCCTAACATGCTATTAGTAAAAGCAAGGATAGCATTTCATTAAAAACATTGAGTTTTTTTTTTTTTTACCTGACAGACATTAAAACCCTACCAAAGTTTTTTAAGCTCCATAAATTTGTAAAAACCAATCTGTGCCTCCTTGATGGGAAGGAGCAATTTGAGTAAAAGGGAGGAACAGACTCCTAATGCGTCAGCTAAAGTTTTTCATTAACCACATGCAATCTCTGGAATTAATCCTTCTTTTTTTCTCCACAGAGCAAATTAAACAGTTTCATCAATACGGATCAAAAAGGAGGACTTCCCTTTTCCTTTAGCTACTTACATGTGGGTGATTTTCCTCAGGTTGTAAAACGAGTGCCTCTCCAGCCGCTGCAGCTTCTTATCCACATTTATGTAACTGAAAGACAGAACTAAAGCTTAAACCAAATCCATCATATAGCCTGCTTTCCTTAATATAATATCTCATAAAAATGTTGAGACACTGCTTAATCTTTTCATTTGACTTCTTACAACCCCAAGATGAATACAAATTTTGCTATAATGTTATTGATTAGTGCATAATTATGAAGTGTAAAGAAAATGACAAAATGCTTTTTATTATTTGCTATTATCATATACCTTATTTTCCGGATTATAAGTTGTAGTTTTCTTTTCATAATTTGACCGGGGCTGCGACTCATACTCTGGTGCGACATATGTGTGAAATTATTAACACATTATTATATCATTTCACATGTTATTTTTACACTAACAGGGTGCTCTAGGCCTGTATAGATAATAATAAAAAAAATAAAATCATATTCTACAAATTACAAGCTGCAAGTATAAAAATATCCAGCTGAAAATGGTAATTGAGTCGCAGAGAGAAAGTTTGGAGTTAGCGGAGTTATTTAAAAGTAACACACAGGATGAGGATTTCATTGGATTTAGTAGTTTGGAGTGATACCGATGGTTTGATAAACTTGTTAGCAAGTTATTTATGCTATAGTTATCTGAATAACTCTTAAGTTAGTGTTGCACCGATACCGATACCAGTATCGGACAGGGCCCCGATCAAGCACCAAAATGGTGGTATCGGTATC